ATAGACTGTTTTGGCACACAAAGCACTTAGAAGGTATTTGTGGAATACAAGATGATTGAATTTAAGTGATGCATGTATTTTTAAAAAACACATACTGTGTTCTAGCATCATAAACTATTTTTAGCGTCTTCTATATGGAAAGAAAGCTTAAAATAGCTCTGGATATATCTGTATATATATATATATATATATTCTCTTTATTCTTTTCTTTCTCCCATCCATGAGGGCAGAGGCATCAGTATTTGATCCTTTTAAAGTCAGTCTTGGAACAATCTTGCTTCTTTGTCTGTCCATTATCTGCATGGGCACTCAGGCTTTGGTGAGGTTGAAACAGATCTCTATGCACCTTAGGAAATATTTGCTGAAGGTCACCAAATGTACGGGGATCTGAGTTTCAAATATTATAGGTTTAACTGGCATTAAAAAAATTGCCAGATGATTCTACATTCCTTTAAGTTAGTATATAGCATACCAGAATTAATTCGTTCCTCCTACCAGTAGGTTCTAGATGTGTAAAATTTGTAATTTACGCATGATATTGCTGGGAGCAGCAGAAAGACATCTCCTGGAAGAGCTCTCTGCAACAGCTCGCTTCCAGCTGGGCAAAGAAGAAGACTGCAGTGGTTCTCAGCTTTATCTGTGCCTTGCCATGTCTCATTTTCCATCTTTTGGTCTTTGGGGAGACTCTCCTTTCTTTCTGGTGGTGCTGTCATTGTGGGGTTCTGTGTCCCACCTCAACAAGAGTAAGCCTGTGGTTGCAATTGCTTGACTTAAGCACAACTTGCCCTGTACCACTGCTTAGAGAATAGAAGAAGGATCATGACCTGTGGGTGATTGTTAGAGGACCAGACTGGGAATTTAGCCAAGTGAGATAAGCAGGTGAAGAGCCTGAATCAACTGTATTTGACATGTACGAGATGGCTTCCCATTAAGTTATAAGACACGGCGTCTTATCATTTGGGCAAGCTGGAGTGAGAGTTCTGTAATGTGCAATAAAAAGAAAAATAATGAATATGGTGTTTTCTTTTCTCAACCTATGGGGTTGTAACGCATGCTTAAATAAATGCTTACAATTTGAGTGACATATCCGAGTGCAAGACATACTTAGCTGCGAAGTTCATGTCAAACAAATCTTTATTTTTCATGGTACAAATTAAAAGTGACAGATCTGAAGCTGTTAAGAAATACACAAAGTGCAGCTTTACGGACCATACAGATATTGCTCTAGATTAAGTACAGTTTTTATTTTTATTTTTAAACATTAAGCAACCTGTGCAGATAAGTCAGCTTTGGTTTCAATGTTAGAACAAGTAAGGAGCTTTTCAATATCCAGTTTGGCTTCTTGGTCACAAGTCTATCATGTCAATGTCTCGCCATGATGATTTTGTTTTGTTTTTGTTTTTGTTTTTTCCAGAACAACCCAGTCTATTTTCCTGCCCTCTCTCCTGCTGCCTTCTCCAGGCATGGAGAAGCAGATTTCTTTGCCACGCCTCATTCAGTGACCCTGGTGACCAGTCTAGATCACAGCACAGAGGACGAAATAATGAATTAAAAATAGAATTTAAAAAAAAATCACTTTTCAACAACAAATAAGCCAATGTGCCTCACGGAATTTCAAGTTGAAGACAAGCAAGTCACATGACAAAAAGCTCGTTACAAAATACCATCCAAACAGATTTTACAGTCAGACATGGAAATGAAAATCATTTTTCTTTTTCTCCATTGTTTTTAATGCTTGATCATTAACTGGGTACAAGTAGAGTGCTGAGGTAAAACATTGATGAACAGTTTGTGATTTTTTTTTTTCTTAAAATAGGAACAGTTTAGTATTGCAAGATTGTCAGCAACATTTAGCCATATCTACACAACGTGCATATTCCTACGTATACTGAGCTTTGGTCCAGCGTAGAGAAGAGAGCAAAGGCAATTGGATTTCTTTTTGGTTACAGCTTGAGTTCTTTGATACGCCTCTACTTGTTTTGTTCTGCTTCCCCCAGCTCCTTTTGTTTGTTTGTTTGTTTGTTTTCTGTTCTCATTTGTGTTATATTTTGTGTGTAACTGTGTGATCACGACATAGAGTCCAAAACTTGCAAAGGCAAGTGAAACTCTTAACTATTCAAAATATCTTTTTGGTTGAAAGAGAAAACAACCCCCCGCAAGCAAGTGTAAAATACAATATTGGCTGTCATGTCTCATCAATAATGAAGAAAATGAAGATGACAACAATTTAAACAATGTGTGAGAAAGACACAGAAGCTTGAAATACAATCACATATGCCCAAAGTGGCTTTTACTTTTTGTTGGTGGCAACCTTAACCTTAACCTTCAGTTCATGAAAACCCAAAAGACACTTAGATGCTATTGGCATATGAAAGTGTTTACCAGAGGAAATAATAAATGTCTAATAAAATTAAGCAGTAAGTGCAGTTCCTGAAGGCTTATGTGTTCCCAAGTACAGTTTATATTCCTAAGAATCTGTTCAGGCATCTTTTTTGCCTTGTAGCAAAAAATTTATCAGTAAAAAAATCAATATAAGAAGCATTACAACACTATATAAATAATTTATAAAACAATACAAAATTATAAAACTATAAAAAAATCACTGCACATGAATAGTTTTACAACCATGGGATGAATTCGTTTCTTTTTTTGTTCTACTCCGGGTAGTTACTCTTATTTTATATTTTCACTACTCTAGTTAGGCTCTCCCAATTATAGGTGTCAGAACTGAGCAGGCCACACGTGCCTGCTGCCGGTTCTGATTTAAACATTTAGCATCCGTCACATGTTATCTTGTTAACGTCTCTTCTTGGGGAGCTTTTCTTGATGGAATTTGGAGCAGGTCCTAGGAGAATACAAAATCTGTTTTAATCAATAAGGTTTCGGTTTCTGGGTTGCTGGTATCTGTGCGGTTTTGCAGTGAAATGCTACCATGGTGGTGTTGGCACTGATCAGGCTGGATGTGGTCCAGTTAGCATCAGACTGGTGGCACGGAAACACCTTTATCAATGACTCTTTGTACTTCTAGGACTATTGTTATTTAGTTTCCTTGTTGGGAGTTTTATGATTGCTGATTGAGCCACCTGAGGGGACTATTACATCATTCCATTTTCATAACCAGCAAAGGAGCCAACAGAAAAAAAGCTAGAACCCCGGGGTGGGAGGAGTGTGCTACGGGGAGGAGATGGTCTTTGTAATCACCTGGGCGTCGTGAGGTGGGGTTTCTCTTTCCCTTTCATGATTCGCCTCTAGACAGTACATGAGCATGTTTTTTATTTACTCATGAATATTTACATTTTGACAACAAGCACATTGATGGTCCTCTTTCACCCACTTTGATGGAACCCTCTGCCTTCATCTGGGTGAAAACATCTGCAGGCTCCAGGGGTTCCCTTGTCCTGCCATCCCTCACCCTTATTTGGCTCTGTGGCCTTCTTGGGTCTCATGGCCCATGGCTTGGGGAACTAATATGAATTAATATGGTGATAGTGAGGGCTCTTCTGCTGTGTTTTATGAGCTACATCTGCATATTTTCCTTTATTGGAGAGCCTGTGCTAAAACTTTTTTCTAGTCAGGAGGCCAGAGCCCAATTCCAATGGCTTAAATTTGCCTGTCACATTTCTATCCAATTTATATATCCCAAGAACAGTTGTCCTCCAGCTCCGAATGTCTACCAACACTTTCTGATGAAAGAAGTAGCAGAAAAAGGTGAGGTTAACAGGACACTTGACAGCCTCTAACAATCTAGGTCACTATCATTTTCTTTGTGGCCTCTCTCTTTGTATGAGGTGGATGAGTATGGACATGCTTGTGTGTGTGTATGTGTGTGTGTGTGTTTTGACTGAAACCTTGAGTCATTTCTTTGGCTATCAGACTTCTGAGAAAGATTGCTTTGAACAGAAGCATAACACAGATGTAAGTATTGAACCATATGTGCAACTTATGTTTATATTACAGAATTAGTTTTGATCAGATTTCCACATATGTGGCTAGTAGATTGAGAAAAAGATCCCAATCTCTGGTGTGGACCGAGAGCGCAATGACAGCCCCTGCCAGTGTTGACAGTCATCCAGCAGTCAGCCCTAGTTATTTTGGAGTCTTGCTTACATTTCTGCAGGGTTGGGTGGGAAGGAAACTGTTTCTTCCCACTTCTGCTATCTTCCAGAAGATCTCAGGAGCCACATGAAAGGAAGATGGAGAAATAGGGGAAGAAGGGAGGTGTGAGCTCCATTTTTTTTCCCCCTTAAACCTACAACTCATAGAAGAAAGCCATGAATGCTTTGGCACACATTCCAGGTTGTTTCTCCACCCCACCACCTGCCTAAAAGAAAACAAAACAAAAAAAAGTAAACACAACAATTCAGGGGGAAGAAGAAGAAGCTATGTCATCTGCTAAGAAGCAGATTGGTAGAGAGTGAGCCATACAGGATGATTTCCACAGTGGCATCCATCCCGGTGGTAGAGACAACAGGTGAGAAAGACGGGAGAAAGCAGGTTTCCTACTTTTCTGTTGGTACAAGTGTAAAAATTCCTAACACAGCTTTACACGCAGAGGCCAGTCGACAAGCAACAGTGTTTGCAGTGTTTCCGACTTTGGTTAATAAGGGTTTGCAGTGATCAGCACTTAGTCCCTGAAGGGCTGCAGTCAGTCCTCCAGGTGGCAGGCTTGCATTCACTTTGAACAGATACAAGTTTGCGGTGGCGTTTTTTTGTTGTTTGTTTTGTTTTGTTGTTGGTTTTTTGTTTTGTTTTTGGTTTAGTTTTTTTTTTCTTTTTCCTTAAAAGGTGTTCACATTTTCGTCATATACAGAAAAAAGTAAGTGGTTATTTGGTTTGCTTTAAAAAACTGGCTTGAGGGAGACAAGTCAGGGAGGGAATGATCCTACCACATACCCCTTCCATGTGGTGTATTTCTTGTTTAAAAATTTAAAACTTTTTCCTTTTCCTTTTCCTTTTTTTGGAAAACCAATGGACACGTATAAACCATTCTGCTCATTTGGTAGTTTTGTTTTTCAGTCTTTTACATACAAGGGAGATGATGACTGGGGGTGTCTTTAAATCCTCTTTTCTTCTTTTCCTCCTTTCCTTCTTTCTTGTGGAGACTCACGGTAGTGGTTAGTTTCTGTGGTGCTTCCTTCTAACCGTGAGCGGGTGTGCCTAGCAGTTTTCTTCTGGAGAGTCTGCTAAGGGCTCCAGGGGGACCGCAGAGGTGGGCTCGTGCTGTTTTAAACGCTTAATTGTGTTCTTCAGAGCTTGTCTCTTATTGCAGAACCAAACTCTAACTACTTCCCGGTCATAGTTTAGCTTCTCAGCAATCTCGGTCATTTCCTGCCCTGAGGGGTGTGTGTTCTTCTCAAAGTGGGCATTGAGGACCTCAAGGGCCTGGGGTGTGAAGGAGGTGCGCCGCTTGCGCTTTTTGGATGGCTCACTCCCAATGAACTCCGTGAGGTTCTGCATACCTGCCCGATGGCGGGCCTCAGCCTCAGCCATCCACCGCTCAAGCACCGGCTTGATCTTCTGGGCACTTTTAGGGGTGATGTCCAGCTTTTCAAACCTGGCAGGATACAAAAGGCCAGGGTTCAGTTTGGCTGTCAGACTGCTAGCTATAGTGTTCTCTTGGGCTTCCTGTGGTAGGAAAAAGTGGCTTCTCAGGATGGTGTGTCTGGGGGGAGAATTGAGAAAGAACAGTCTTACACTGAGTCCTCTGCCAGGGTGGGCCTCCTGCCTGCCTGCCTGATTGCCTGGCAGGGTGAATTCACTCCAGATTAGCAGCCAGCTTCAAGATAGCCAGCCCTGTCCCAGCCAGCACCCACCCGCCCAGCAAGCTCCATGCCAGCCATGCAGATCCCCAGGCACACGGAAGGGAAGGGGGGGGGGCGCACCAGCATACACTGTGGAAACACAGGCAACTCGCAGGCCTTTTCCCTCCATATTCTGAGATCTAAGCTGCCTCTTCAGCTGTTCCCAGCTTTAGTTCTCCAACCCTCAGAATTCTTAAGGCAGAAATTAACCAAGAAAGTGACACTTACGATAACAATTGTCATATTCTTTTACTTAAAATGGTCTTACTTTTGGTTTTCCTCTCCATTGTGTTGGTTTTGAAAAATATCACAGCTATTATCGTAGCCTGAGATGGCCACCGGGCCAAGCTCCTCTTCATGCCTCTCTTTTTATCTCCCCTTGTGTCTTATTTTAACTTCTTTCTGTCTGGTAACAATTTTCCCCGTATGTAAGTTAACAACATGCCTCCCGTCCAGGTAAAACATAGACCAGTTGTTACTTTACAGTTCTGGCCTAAACAGCTGGGTACATTGTAATTACCATGGAATACCCCACCCCTGGGTGGGCTTAGGCCGTCTCATGCCTTCCAATCACCATCCAGTGTAATGGTGCACTTTTGTACCAGGGCATCACGCTGTGTTTAATGTGGGATATCTGCAAACTGTACTTGAATGATATCATTTTCTGTAAATGAGGTCTTCTATATATCAATTGCCATCAGCGATTCTTTGCTACATTTACTTTAAAAAAATACGAAGCATCCTGGACAAAATTATATAGAGGGTTTTAAAAAGTCCTTCCTGGTACTAAATTCATACTGTCAGTGAAATACAAAGGAGGACGACCGGCTCCTTTTGTTCATTTGTTTCTTTATTCTAAGTCCAAATTCATGTTCCTCCTATTGACAGCAGTGGGCACAGACTTTGTCTCTTTTAAAGTGTTCCATGTTGCTGAAAAGCAATCATCTGGCATTTTAAGATGCTTGCAAAAGGATAGGCCAGGGTGGACGTCTTCTTTTTGCCAGGATCTGATTGTTGGAGTGTGTCTTTAGATCCTTTTGTTGAGATGAGCAGCTCAAATGCTACGAAGGGTTTAACTACATGGCACTGCTTCCCACACAGAGTTCAAGAAGGCATTTGTTGATTTTTGAAAAAAATGCAGCTTCTAGCCCTTCCTAAGGAAGGCAGAAGTCGTCTGCTCTCAGAGCAAGGGTAGCTAATCACTTAGTATTATTAACAAGTGTGTCACCTGTGGCAGGCTCCCCAAAGCCACCACTGTAATAATTTGCCACACTTCTGCATTTTGTCATCCTTCAGCGTAAAAGCCTAGAGCTCGGTAGCATCCCAAATGGCCTCACAGGGCCGTGACACCAAGGGACAGAGCTCGTGATGGGGATGTCTGGCATATTGGTGTCATCGTCCCTTTGTACCTCTGATAAGAAGGTTCTCACATAACATCTAAGGGTCCCTGCAGCCAGTTAGCACAGAGTGGCGCTTCAGTGTGCCGGCGCTGACGTACATCCTTCCCCAGGCTTTGAACTCACTGAGACTATTCCAACATCAAGCGTCGATTAAAGACTAATTAATTAATTAATTAATTAATTAATTAGGATAGACAGCTTCTAAAACAGCATCGCTGAAACACTAGAAGCTGGATAAAGGCCCTGAAGTCTGGGTGTCTGCTCTGTTAACCAATAATAACATTTCTAGAAGTCTGCAATCTTCGGCATCTTTCGCTTCCCTCTGGGGAAGATTTGACAAATCATCATATCTGATTGGGGATTCCCAGGAATCCGTGTTTGTGTATAAGTTGAAACATTAGAGGGCTCTCCAGTCGATAAAAGAAAATCAGATTTCAGGGCTAAAATAAGCCAAAGAAGAATTTATCTCTTTGGTAACAATCGAAAATTGGCATCCAAAACAAAACAACAACAACAAAAAAAAAACCAAAAAAAAAAAAAAACAAAAAAAAAAACCCACCCCCCCCAAAAAAAACAAACAAACAACAACAACAACAACAACAAAAACCTGTGGCTTTCTTGATCACAAGGTATCAGGGCCAGACAAAATGAATGTCTCTCGACAGGGAGTGACAGTATTCCCATTATTGATGTTGCTTGTTAAGGCTGATGCTTCTGTATGTGTTGTTTGGAATAACATATACAAGCCTCGATATAAATTTCCCAGCAGCAGTATCCTTGTATAGACTGAATAAAGGTTATTTTCTACAGGGAGGTATCTTATAAGAAAAAACAGTAGGGGAGACCATAGAAGTGAGAGGATCCTATGGTGCTTTTTGTATTTAACAACAATCAATGGGTTTTATGGAAAATCATTGAGCAAAATGTGAGCTGCAAGCTACCACCCCATACTGATGTTATTTATAACCTTAGTCTTAAACTGCAGGGAAAGTACGCTTCTGTCCTTTGGGGAATACATTAAAAGTATAAAGAGCAGATAAAAAGACAGCATTTCATGGATCACCAAGAACAAAATCCACTTAGATGAGTTTAGAGTTGGTTTCTTGGCTGTTGCTGATGGAGGAGGACTCCTAAGGCATTGCCCAAGAGGAAAAAGCTCCTGCGGAGTGCCTTCCTTACTTCATGCATAAACATGGGATTAGAGCAACCCACATGCAGGCGTGGGGCTGCTCCTGAAGACTTAACCCGGATCAACTCAAACACAACCAAGGCTGGATTCAGTCATTTATTTACTTAATGTGGCGGGGGGAGGGAGGGTGTGGGTACAGTTAGGCTGGATTCACTACCCATTTGCAAGACATTTAAAACATCTTTCTCCCTCTCTCTTTATTTCTTCCTTCTACCTCCTTTTCCCCCCTTCTCATAAAGATGTGTCTGGGAAAGCAAGTTATAAAAACTCTTTCCACAAGACAGTGAAACCTGTTAAAATGTATGTTTCATGGGAAACCGTAGAGCCAGCTCTGGGTAATTCACAGCACGGTGGACCTAGAAGCTTTGCTTTCTGCCCAGGGTGCCCACGTGTAGACAAGAGTTGGCATCCTCACCTGGCAGGGGCATGGAGGACAATGGAGACCCCTGCCCAGGGCAGCATATTTCAACCTGTCAGCCTTGGAAGTCCTTGGAGTTGATAGGAGTTAGGAGGCCAGGACCCCTCAGCTCTTCATTGGCACCCCATTTTGCATCGATATCACCAGTCCCAACAAACAAGTTACACCGCTTTTCATCCCCATGCTCTGTTCTTCCCGTTTGCCCACCCAAAGAAGACAAGCTGAGCCGCAAGGATAAACAGGGCCCGGCCTGGCCAGGACAGGTGACAGCATGCAGTGCCCGTTACCTGCAGATGGCCGACTGGCTGTAGGCGGGGCCCTCTGTGGCACTGAGGGCTTGCCCCACCTGAGTCTGTGTCAGGCCAAGGGACAGGCGTCGTATTTTAAAAGCTTTGGCAAATTCTCGGATCTCCTCCAGATTAACCCCGTCCACCTCACCTGCTGCCGTTTGAGGATCTGTGGAGATGTTTTTAAAATAGGATCAACATGTCAACACACGGCCGGTCAGGATGTTTATCACTGAGCAGCCATAGAGCGATGGGGAAACCATTCCAATCTCTTGTCTCTCATCCTTCAACACCCCTTCCTCCTTCACGAGCCATCCTTCAAGACACTTCTATCCCAGATAAAGCCACTCCTGCTTGCCCCAAAGCAAGAGCACACTTCTTCAGGACTTAACTGCAGCAGCCAGCAAGGGGAAGCTCTTGCTAGAGGGATTCAGCCCTACTTCGCTGGGAAGCCCCTTCATATACGCTACAAAAAAACATAAACACAAGGAGGTTTCTGTTTGAAATGTCTTAATTGGAATTCTCCATGCTAACAATTGCCCACGAAGGAAATGGCACTCTGTGCTTTCCCTTCACCTGATTGCCATGTAGCCAGGGTAATAGATGGTAATCTTGCCTCATTTTTTATGTTCACATTACCCCTCAGAAGAGCATGGTTATGAAGCTGTGAGAATAATATTGTCTTTTTTCCCCATAGCGGTTTACTGACACAGCTGCTTTTGTCTCCTGAAAGGGCACATAATAAAAACTGCCTACCACAGGAAGGCTCCTTTGGTGCTGGATAACGCGGTCAATTTAGGACTTATCAAGGGAAATGACACAACAGCTGGAGAATGAAACTTTCTCCCCCCTGGCTACTGATCCCTGGATAAATGAAAGCATTCACCAAGCTGGAGCCAGCATGAGCTGGGCCTGGTGGGAGATTTCCGTGCAGCTCAATGCTGCCTGTAGGGAAGTCACTCCTGCAGCAAGCCATCTCTATTGTTCTTCACCTCGCTCTTCAGACTCAGCTGAGAGTTGCTCTTCCTCTTTCTGCACAGCAACCCATCAATTTCAGTGAATTTCGGTTCTTGTCCCAGAACTGTGGTAGGCTGTGGTACTCTTCCGGGCTCAGAACTATATACTCTCTGGATGTTATTAAGAGAAACATTTGCGCCCTAAGTGACAATTTTTAAACTACTTTCAAATAAGGAAGGTGTGTGTCGTGTGTCTAATGGGGAGGGCTCTAGAGGACTTGGTGTATAGCTTCTGTCAGTACAGGGGAGTGACCCCACCTGGCTGCGGGAAAGGTACTGCCAATAAAAGGAGGAATGCAGGTATACATTGTACATTTATCTTCATATTAAACAGAACCCCCTGGCCAGGTGCAAGGGTACTGAAGCCAGAGGGCAAACTGAACCCCAGGAGTCCAAGGCCAAACAGGGCAACCCAGCAAGACTGTTTAAGAGGACCTTAGAATTGTCATAGCTCTAGTCCTCATTTCATCACAGAGATTGGAGGGTGGTTTGCGGTGTGTAAGTGCTTCTAAGCTTCTCCCGACTTCTCGCTGGAGCAGCGAGGCATGTTCTTATAGTTTATTGGGGCTTGGGGTATAACATGAAGGCACGAAGAAGCTACAGAGAAAGGAGAGAATCTTGAACTGGTGGTGGTGGGAGTGTCACTGGGTATACAAATCACTGTTAGGGGCAGGACCTGTGCTCAGCAGCAGATGGTCAACACAGAACAAACTCAATGACAGTTTTGGAGGTTTAAAAAAGTTTTTATTTTATTTTTTTTTAAATCTTACAGGTCTTTTGTGTATATATCACAGTTTCTGATTTTTATGTTTTTATGGGATATCTCTGTGTGTGAATGTATCTCTGTATCTGTATGCGTTTCTTGTTTTTATTTTATTTATTATTTTTTGCTTCTGATTGCTTGTTTTGTCCTATTCTGATTTTTATTTTATCATTAATTTTTAGGTGCCTGATAGTTTTTTAATGAGAGCGAGAGAGAAATAGACAGAGAGAAAGGGTATGGATTTGGGTGGGAGTGGAGGTGGAGAGGATCTAGAAGGCGTTGGGGAAAGGAAAACCATAATCAGAATATACTGTATGGAAAAGTCTGTTTTCAATTAAAAACCGAGAAAAGGAAAAAATAAGAAAATAAAACAAAAATCTGGTGGTGCGATTCTAGGTATGCAGAAGAGAGGATGGGGGGGGTCATCTTTCTTTCCAGAGAATGTAAGGGTTTTGCTTTTTGAGCATGGACTGAAGGAGCTTATCCAAGAGATGACCATTTCAAAGTAGCACACTGAGAACCTTCATGTGCCATCAGGGCTTGCAGAGTTGTTTATAAAGTTGGTTTGGAGAAGATGAATTAAAAATTTTCTTTTAGCACCCCACCCCCAGACTTTTCTTCTTGAAATCTGACATTCAGTCAATGAAGGCTTATTCAGGTGTTTTGTGGTAGAGACTGTCTTCTGAATTTTAAATCCCTCCATCCTTAGTATGGAGTGGTTCTCAGGGTTCACAAAGAATTCTGGGAGACCACACCTGCACATCTGGCAGCCTCTAGCCCTTCCCTTATTTCCTCATTAATACCATTGCAGAAGCGGGACCTGCAAATGAACAGCATTGGAAAGCTTACACAATTTTTTTAAAATTACTTGCCAGCAATAGAAGTAAGGGATTTTAAAGGAAAAGCAAGATTTTTTTAATGTTCTTTCAGGTGCACAGGACCTACATTTTGCAGTAGTCACACCCAGTCACCTGGAACTGATTCTCACTGCTCCCCAGCTCCTCTTCCCCAGCCCCCCTCACATTTGCTGCGTGTCCAAGATGAGCTGTCAGCCTGAGTTTAGACTGGGCAGTCTTGCTGCTTGGTTCTGGGGCTTAGGCAGGAAATACTAAGTGACGCAGTGGCTGTCGTTTCCAAAGGCCACAGTACATACACAAGAGAGATTTACAGTGTGTCTAGGTTAAAAAAAAAAAGTCCTTCATGGTAGAAGGAAGAAATATTAGTATTAAGAAAAAGTTTAAAAAGTCTACTTTCGAGAGGAGAGAGGCAAAAAAATTAATAGCCAAGGGATCCTGATTTAGCATAGAAAGGGGCACCTGCTGGTACAGAACAGAACAGTGAAAGGAAAGATTGGCCAAGTCTCTTTCACAGATAGTGAGTTATTTGGCAGCCTTGCAAGTAACAAAGGATGCTCAAAGCTCAAAATTAAAAACCAAACCAAACAACAACAGAAAACCCCCAGAGCCCTTCTTTGTACAAACATGGCATTTAGACCAGTGCTTCTCTTGATTTGACAGGCTTGAGTGACCTGATGGGGCCAAGGGCACATTTTCACAGGCCGTACAGGTGTTCTGTGGCAGGGGACCTGCCTGCTGCTGTATCTGTGTCTACCTTTCGGCTTCTAGCTTTACTGAGCCTGAGTGTGGCATCCTCTTCCTGCCACTGATTTCCTGAACCAATTCATGTTCTCATCCAGCAGGTTTGATGGTACAAAAAACCCACCTGCTTATCTGTCTCAAGACTGATGATGCAGGCAGGCCTGGTGAGAGGGGTTCCTGAGAGGGCCTCCCCACTCCCACTTCTGTCTTTCCTCACCCCTTCTGGATTGTATAGGAAAGTAGCAAAGCTGTGTGGCTCAAGGGGATGGGAAGGCCAGTGTGGCCTGTGATTGGGGAGAAAGTGTTCTGTCTGTCAAGTTAGATGTCTTAGATGTGAGAGATAGCCCTTCAGGTTTTACTAGTCTCATCTTTAGATTAACCAGAATCGGTTGAGTTAACCAGTGTAGGAAGGACTGGTTTTTATGGAAGGCCTTCATAGTCTACTGAGCCTAAGCTGCCAGCACACACACAGACACATAGACACACAGACACAGACACACACACAGACACACAGACACAGACACACACACACACACACAGACACACACACAGACACACACACACACACACACACCAGTGCAGTATGGGGGTGAGTTTAGGACGCACTCAGCAATTTTACAAAAAAATTTCCTTTCATCTTTTTTCTCTTCTACCAGCTCTCTAGTTTTGTATCTCCTTGCTAGTTCCCAAGCCTTGGAACTAAGCCTGTACTTGTGATCATGTTGGTCTTTCTTTCTTTCTTTCTTTCTTTCTTTCTTTCTTTCTTTCTTTCT